GGGCGCCTGTGGTCCCAGCTACTTGGGAGGCTGAGGCAGGAGACTCGCTTAAGCCCAGGAGTTGGAGGTTGCTGTGAGCTGTGATGCCAAGGCACTTTACCCAGGGGGATAGCTTGAGGCTCTGTCTCAAAAAAAAAAAGAACTAATAACAGTTTATATATAATCAACAGTGGGCATTAAAGGAGACAAGAAATGTTTGTATATATTTTGTTGGTAATTTTAGGAGTATGGTTTTTTCAAGCCTACATAAGAAACTTTTTAGGAAAGATTATATGTCAGGAGGTCAAAAAGGAGGGCTCTATCACATTTAAGAGACATTGCAATTTTAGTGGTAAATTGGATTAAAATTTTAGAAGGCTTAAAAGACCAGTATTGAAAATAAATGGTGTCTAGGTCATAGCTAGAAATATGAAAGCAAATGATGTGTGAAAATAGACATGTATTAACTTACAATTCAGAGGGAACTATAGGTTAGTTACTCAGATGTATGTATTTAATTAGTCACAATTATGTACAAAGCATTATATTTTATTGGAGAATAAGGAAAGATTCTCCAGCAGTGAGTCTAGTTGAGTTCCATAAACTCAAAGTCAGTTTCTACAGGTTACAAACTGAATTCATAGTCACTTCCAGTTTCCCTTTATTATTTGCATTGGCCTGAAACACTGGAGCTGTCTGCATAGACTTTATGTTAACTACTGTCCTTACCTTGTTTCATTGGTACAGTGACCTGAGGAGATGAGCGTCATTCCCCCACTTTATAGAAAAGAAGCTGAGATTTGGGAAAAGAAGAAGTTGAGGTGTAGGAAATAAGTTGTATCTGAAGTCGCAAAGGTAGCAGGGATGGGCTTTGATGTTTAGGAACCTGACCACAAGCCTAGTCTTCCTTTTGAGTATTTTGCTGCTCAGCCAGTCTTTGTTATAGTCACTTTTTTTCTGTATATCCAGATGTTTAACTTGTCTTTGCAGTTTTTTTCCTTTCTTTCTTTTTTTTTTTTTTCAAAATATTGGGAAATTGAAGTTGGGAAGAAGTGGGGAAAAGCGTAAATAACCCTGGAAAGGTGCTCTTGGGAAATACAGTGAAAATCAGTAGAGCAACACACAGCAGTAAAGGGATTTAATACTGCATTCT